AATATGTATGGCCTAAATGCAGGAACTGTCCATTTGCCAAGAGCCCACTTAGAATTGTAATGCAATTATAAGCTGTTAGTAATGAAAAGGTCATCTTATCCAAGACTTGTGACAAGTAAATTCAACCACTTATGTATTTGTAGGGCGCTCTGGTGGCATAGTGCTTAAGGCATTTGACTGCTAACCAGAAGGCTGGTGGTTCAAACCCACCAGGCACTCCTTGGAAGGAAGGCTGGGCAATCTACTTCTGAAGTGATACCACCTTGGAAACCCAAGGAGGGGGTCACTATGAGTCGGGTCCAACTCGATGGCAGTGAGTTTCATTTGGTTTTGTTTTATGTATTTGTATGGTACATTACTGAATGCTTTCCAATTTCTTTTACATTGCAGTACACATTAAAAATGGTATGCATAGAGCAAAATGTGGGTAATAGTGAGGACTGCTATTGCTTCTCACCCTGGAGGACCCGGCTGCCCCCTGTGCCTGGCCATCATAAGGACCAAGTGGGCCCGTGTTACTTTCTCACTTCTGGCATACAGGTTGGGACACAATGATCTGTTTTAAAATAAAACTTTTCACATAAAACATCTCTTGGGATCCTAAAAAATGTAACGAGTTGTGGCACAGTTATTAATTCATGTTGACAAAAGAGGGCGCTGCAGTTTAGAAAGCTGGAACAGTTTTTCTCCTAAGGCCATACTGGTTTCCTTTTTGTCTCTTTACAGATACACAGCTTACTGAGGCCATACTGGTTTTCAATGGTGGTATTCACATGGTCCTTTAAATCCTTACCCAGTGTCTTCCTGTCTCTGTACTGCACACTGCCTCTTCTGTACTGTTAGACACACTAGCAGATACTTGTGAGAGAGTCAGAATGAAAGTGAAAGCTATGGATGATTCTGGAAGGCAGAAGGATGACCACTGTTAAGTATTTTTCCTCAGGTGACAAGGGCCCAGCTACATTCCTGTAGGCTACCATAGTTGATGTCAAATCTTTGGTGGTCTTAAATCTTGTATCCTGAAACAGAATCTTAACTGCTCTCCTCTTGTTGGCTAAGCAAAACTTCTGTTCATTCTTAATGTTTCCCTTTGAGAAAGGCTTGTTTCCTAACTTCCTCAGGGAGACCCCTCTGTTCACACATTTCTCAAAGACTTACTTTCATCTCTATTTTTTAACTTATCTATCTCTTTACCAGATAGATGGCATTTTCCAAAGGGTCTTTTGTGGGACATTAACTCCATGGCAACTTAAACAGATTTTAGTGGACAGGTAGGCAGCCAAGGAATGTAGGTGACAAGGAGACAGGGTAAAATGGAAAGACACAAAGAAATACTTGATTAAATAAGCTAAACTTATTTATTGCAAGAACTTCTTAGGATCCTAATATTCTAATGTGTTTTTCTACATCTCTCAAACTTACTTGGCCGCACATACCTTTGCTATACAGGATTTGGAACTAGCAGAATATATTAAAGAGAAGATTCATCAGGATGAGAGCTCCCTCAGGATAAAGATTATACAAAGGACTTGTGGTTTCAGCTCTGATATGTAAAGAGCTTAGAAGTTATCACTCCCATCCTCACAACAAGCAAAAAGCTCAGTAAATTGAAAGATAATGGATTTTCTTAGATCCATTAGAGAATTGAGGTCACAGTGCAGATCACCATGAGAAGAGACAGGCAAATACAGAGAATCGCAGTGGAGATCCGCTTACTGGAAGCAGAAACTGCTGGAGCCAGTAACTGCAGTAACACTTAAACGGTAACTGACAAATGCTGAAGGCTGAATGTGGGAGAGCTAGAGAGTCAAAGACTCCCGGGAGCCCAGTCTTAGGGAGCCCCCTACCTTCGCCAGAGTCCTACTGGGTTCTGAATCACAAAAAATCCCTTTGTGCTTCAGGCAGGTGGAGGAAAACGTAACCATTTTTAAATACAACCAGAGGAAAAGTAACCATTGTCAAATATGCCCAATACATTCTCCAAAATAAAGGGCTACTCTCTGAGGGAAAACTACTTTAGCAGACCCTTATCTGACCTGTGGAAGGTTGGATATGTGAACAGGAAGGTACCATCTAGCCTTCTTGTTTCACATAAAGGCTAAGAAATGCTTCCAAAAATTACAGTCTAGAGACCATTCAGGTGTACTAAAAAACAGATTTTATCATAAAATTATAGAATGGTTTCCTTCCCCAGTACCTTGTCATTACATTAACAGGGCTCCGGTATAACAGTGGATTACAATTGAGAGAGCTTCAAGACACAAACTACTTAAGAATTCTTAGGGAAACCCAAAGACATTGGAAGAAAACAAACAAGAAAATGGAAGTCTTTGACATGTATAATGACAGCAAACATTAAACACAGTCCAGCACCTAGCCAGATTAACATAAAACTTCATACTAGCAGACTAATTACCCAAATTCCTAATACCAATAATACATTATGTTCAGGTTCAACAAAAAAAAATTACAAGACATACTAAAGGGCAAGGGAAAAAAACAAAGCAAACAAAAACACAGTTCAAAGGGACAAATCAAGCATCAGAACCAAAATCTATGACACAGATTTTGGAGTTAGTAAATAGGGAATTTAAAATAATTGATTCATTTGTTAAGAGTTCTAATGGAAAAAGTAGATAGCATGCAAGAACAAGTGGATAATACAGACAGACAGACAGAAAATCTTAAGAAACAAACAAAAGGAAATGCTAGGAAAAAACAGAAAAACAACACTGTAGCAGAAATGAAGAATGGCATGAAAAGACACAGAAACCTTAAATCCATATTGTTAAATTGAAAGGAACCAGTCTCAAAAAGCTACATATCGTATAATTCCAACTATGTGATATTTTGGAAAAGCAAAACTATAGATCCAGGGAAAAGATCAATGGTTCCCAGGGATTTAGGGTCAGGAGTTAAACTAAATTTAACTATTTTTTTATATGGCTAGGTAGAACACAGGGTGTTTCTAGTGCAAGAGCTATTCCACAATGGTGGACACACGTATGACATTATGCATTTGTAAAAACTCATACACTGTGTGAGACAAAGAGTGAAACCTACTGTAAACCATGGACTTTATTAATATAATGTATCCATACTGATTCATGGATTGCAACAAAAATGTACCCCACACTAATATAAGCTGTTGATAATAAGAGAAACTCTTGAAAGGGGGAAGATGAATATATGAGAACTTTCTGTACTATATGTTCATTTTTAACAAATAAATCTAAAACTTCTAAAAATAACGTCTATTGATTAATAGAGAGAATTATAAGAGAGCTTTTCATTTTGTATACACTGTCTCAGTGCCTCAAGTTCGTATTTGTTTAATAAATAAATGAATGATGGTGAATGAAGGACTGACTGACATTTGTGACAGATTCAGTTCATAGTGCCTGCACCGGACTGTGTGGCAAGGTCGATGTGCACAGTCAGTCTTGAAGAGGACGCCATCCAGGGAAAGGCTGGGGCACTTGGCCAGTGCTTGCTCTGCTGCTTCAGTTGTACCAGTCCCACACCTTTGGTGGCCAGAACATCTACCATTCCAGAGTATTCCAAGACTGCTTATATTCACATTTCCTGAAAATCACTGTTGCTCTGCCTTTCTATTATGTTTCAGGGTAACTTCAAAATTGGAAAAAACTGCTTAGAGAAATTAAACTGTTCTGGCTTAACTATTTTTTTTTTTTATGTTGCTCCTAATAGAGTAAAAAATTTGCATTCTGCAAAATTGTGCACTAAAAATTAGAGCACTTATGCCCTACTAAGGAGCTCTGGTGGCACAGTAGTTCAGGCATCTGGCTGCTAAGTAAAAGTTGGCGGTTTGAACCCACTAGCTGCTCCATGGGAGAACAATGAGGCAGTTTGCTTCTGTAGAGATTTATAACTTTGGAAACTCTACAGGGTCAGTTCTATTCTACCCTAAAGGGTTGCTATGAGTTGGAATTAACTTGATGGCAGTGGGTTTTGATTATGTCCTACAACAGGAAAGCACTTAGGTGCTAACCGAAAGGTTTGTTGTTCAAACCCATCAAGTGGTTCTATCAGAAAAAGACCTGGCCATCTGCTCCCATAAAGATTACAGCCTAGAAAACCCTATGAGGCAGTTTTGCTTTGTCACATGGGGTCTCTGTGAGTTGGAAGTGACTCGACGACAACCGACTGCATCAGATGGGAAAAAAGGTTTGGAATTCTATGACCTGAGCATCCCTAACTACCTAAACTCCACTGGTGTTAGCACTGAGAATCAGGCGGGCCATCCTTTGCAGCTTTAACAGTTTGGGCTTTTGTTTCTTCCTCTTGAGACATAGACCCTTGAAATCAATTACTTCTAATAGAAACCATTTTCATTAATATTAAAACTGTGACCTAGAGGTGGTCTTCTTCACAAATCAATGCTTTTTCTGCACACAAGGTAAAACATCTTCACACCTTTTTCATCTGTATTTGCATCTTTGCCAAATAGCTTAACATAAGAGGAAAATGTGGTGGTTTTTGAAGCCACTAAACAGTTCATCTTCGCAATGAAAAGAGGCACTTCACAGGATTTTCATCTTTTTAAATTAAGGTCTGTATATTGCTAAAGGAGCTCTTGTGGCACAGTGGTTAAAGTGTTCAGCTGCTAACTGGAAAGCTGGCAGTTTGAACCCACCAGTCACTTCATGTGAGAAAGATGCAGCAGTCTGCTTCCATAAAGATTTCAGCCTAGGAAATCCTATGGGCATCTCTACTCTGCCCTATAGGGTTGCTATGAGTCAGAATTGAATTGATGGCAATGGAGTTGGTTTGGCTTTATATACTGCAAAGGCTTTCTCTTTAGTTGTGAGGAAGCTTGTCCCTGACCACTTCAGCACATTAACTTGCTGGGAGAAAATATTTGAACAAATGTGACTTCACATTGTGCTGACATCATTCCCCTAAATACTAGTAGCACATGAACTAATTCACGTTGGAGAAACAGACATCTTATAGCACTACAGACTATGTTTAATGGTATAATAACTTAAGTAAGTCTTTTATTTAGGAAAGAAAGAATTAAATCTCTTCTAATTTCTCTTACCTTATGGTGTTTTCTGCCTTTGTAACAGAAACACAATTCTTTGGTTCACTTTGATGTTTCTTCAGTGTTCCCCATGATCTATGGAAAAAATTAAATGTTTTCTCCATCTCAATTTTTCTTTATATGCACCCTTACCCATACATGTCTCTTATCTTGTTCACATACATAAGCCCATCCCTTCTGTTTGTGATAGGAAGAATTGAGGTGACTTATCCCAGAACATCCAAACAAGCCAGCACCCTGCCATACAATGCATCTGAGAACACAAAAGAGCTGTGTCGACAGTCGACATCCCCATACTAAATCTCACATATCATATGTTTCCTACACCTGCTTTTCCTCACTGCTCATTTTCTCTGTTATCTAGAGTTCTAATAAGCCTGGTGGTAAGTTTTCTAAGATATTGCAAATTGGAAAGTAGTGGGTGAGGAGAAAGGGCTGTTGGAGTAAATCACTAACAGCAATGAGAATTAACTTTACTGAGAGCTCTGGTAGTGTAGTGCCTAAGGCACTTGACTGCTAACCAGAAGGCTGGCGGTTCAAACCCACCAACCACTCCTTGGAAGAAAGACGGGGCAATCTACTTCCATAGTGATACTGCTTCGGAAACCCAAGGAGGGGTCACCATGAGTCAAGTCTGACTCGATGGTACATAACAACAACAATTTACATACCATAAATTCACCTTTTTAAAGTATACAATTCAATGATATTTGGTACATTTACACAATTGTACAACCAATACCACAATCTCATTTTAGAATATCCCATTTTCAGTCACTCTTTATTCCCACCTATGGCCCTAGGCAACCACTAATCTACCTTTACATGGAGTCATTATGAGTTGAAATCAACTCCATGGCATCTAACACCAACACCACTTCTATCCCTGAGCATAACTGAGTCCATCCTTGTTATAGCATGCATCAATACTTCATTCCTTTTTACAGCCAAACAGTATTTATTTCATTGCATAGATATACCACATTTTGTTGATCCACTGATGGACATTTAGATTGTTTCCATTTTTTGGTATGATTAATATTGCTATGAATATTCTGTGTGGACATGTACTTTAATTTATTTTGGGTAGATACCTAAGAGTGGAATTGCTGGGTCATATAGTAATTTTATGCCTACCTTTTTAAAGAAATTGCCAAAATATTTTCCTAAATACTGTACCATTTCACATTCCCACCAACAATGTATTTCCGTTTCCCCACAACCCTAAACATGCAGTTTACTCTCAACTACTAACCTAGAGGCTGGCAGTTTTACCCACCCCTTGGCACTGGGAAAGAAAGGACTCATGGTCTGCTTCTGCAAAGTTATGGTCAAGAAAACTCCATAGAGGAGTTCTATTCTGTAACATGGGATCAACATGAATTGGCACTGACTTGATGGCAATGGGTTTAGGTTTTTGGTTTGTTGTTATGTGCCATTGAATTGGACCCAACTCATAGCCACCCCTCCTTGGGTTTCTGAGGCAGTATCATTACAGAAGTAGATTGCCCCATCTTCCTTCCGAGGAGTGGCTGGTGGGTTTGAACCGCCAGCCTCTGGTTAGCAGTCAAGTGCCTTAGGCACTGTGCTACCAGAGCTCCCAGATTTTTGGTTTAGTGGGTATTAAGTACTAGCTTACTGTGGTTTCAATTTTCCTTTCCCTAGTGACTATGATCTCAAGCATATTTTCATGTGTTTATTAGCCATTTGTGTATCTTCTTTAATAAAATGTCTATTCAAACCTCCTGCCATTTTAAAATGGGGCTTTTGTCTTATTATTGAGTTGAAAGAGTTCTTATAGATCCTTTATCAGATACATGATTCGAAAATATTTTCTCCCAATCTATGATGGAAACAGGCACTTTCTCTTGCTCTGTGAGAGCGCTGGACTCCTCTAAGCTTTTCAAGTGTTTTTTCTCATGAGATGCACTGATCAGTACTCAGGTGCACACTTGAATTGCAGCTGTCTATACAGCGATCTTTTCCAGTGCTCTGTCCAGTGAAATATTGCCACCTGGATTTCTCCCTGTAACCACCTCCTCAACTCAGGGAGTCTGCCAAGCTGGATTCTCCTACCCTGCACCACAACCTGGAAACTCTCTCAACTGTCCCTGTTATTACATGTCCAGAAACAGAAATCTCAAGAGAATTTTAAAACATTACTTTGTATACAAGTTTCCCAAAGAATGAACTACCCTTATGGCAAAACTCCGCCCCCTCCCCACCATATATCAAACAAAAACAACCCAAACCCATTGCCATTGAGTTGATTCTGACTCACAGCACCCCTATTATAAGACAGAGTAGAACTTCCCCATAGGGTTTCTAAGGCTGCAATCTTCACAGAAACAGACTACCACATCTTTCTCCCACACAGCTGCTGGTGGGTTCCAACTTCTGAACTTTCAGTTAGTATTTGAATGCTTTAACCACTGCACCACTCGGGCTACTTTCCCCACATACCAGCTCACTTAAAGTACTTCTGGAGAAACCAGGCCCTTATAAGTGTGCAGCACATGACAGCTGATAAAGTCATTTCAAAGACTGAGGTAACATGGCTTGTTATGACTTGTGCCATATTTTTAATAAGAAATTCATCTCCATGTGAAAAAGGGTGGTTATTAAAAAAGCCCAACAGAAAAAGTCACAGGGTTGACACTACATGTAATAACAACAATAACCACCACCAATTCACACAGTGTTCTCAAACAAGATTTCCTTTTGAATTTACTCACTGTGGTGGGCACTGGTGTTGCTTGTCTCTACCAGGTTGATATCATACTGGGCTGAACTGGCCCTCTGAAGGTGGCCTTTCCTAATAGCAAAAGGGAGACAGACACACAAATGGAAAAGGATAAATGGAAAGCATGTCAGAACAACTAGAAAGAAAGTTTAAACTTGAATATTTGATGTTTATTTTCTTCTCCGTAACTACTACCTGAAATAGTCAGAGTTGCCTTGACAATGCAATTCTTGACACTGGGTTCCATCAATGAAAAAATATACTTGGGCAGGTAGGTCATCTGGGGGAACTTCCGATGTTGATAATGCCATGTAAGTCTTTTTTGCTTAAGAAAGCAGAGCTGTTGTCTTCTGCACCAAAGTCCTTTATATTGATGTTTAGAAACATGTCTTATCTTAGTGGAATGCTCTTGTACTCTTTTTAAAGAGATTAGTTTCCATTATTAGTTAGACACCCTATGGTAGCTTTAGTGAACTATTAATGGCAGCTGAAAAACTCTCTTTGGATCTTTTTTTTTTTTTTTTTTTTAATTAGGATTTGGGTGAAGATTTACAGAGTAAATTCACTTTTCATACAGTTCACATATACTTTGTCTCATGTCATTGACCAAAATTTACAATGCAACAGCTCCCCTCCCACTTCCTCCCCATAGTTACCTCCTCCCAGTGTCCATCCCTTCATACTCTTCTGCACCCTGAGCTATCTCCCTGTGCATAAGCAGCCCTTCCTTCTCCCATGATTGTTCTCTCCAGGGCATGTGTCTACTTGAGGTAAATGTTTAACTCACATGCCTGTACTTTGTTTGGCTGGAAACCACAGGTGTGGGTTCAATTCCAGACCTGAAGGGCAGCTAGGGGCCATAGTCTCAGTGGTTACACCAGGCTCTATTGGACCAGCAAACCTGGTCCCCACCTTCTTTTTTTTTTTTTGCCTCTTTGGATCTTTTTAAGATTCCAGTTCCTCAATTTTTTAGCCATCTTGTCAATTAATACAGCTTATAATTTATATTTAGGTGATCATAATAAAAGTTTTTTTAAAAATTATTTTAAATATTAAATACTATTTTGGAATGTACAATTGTTTTAATTTTTTTCACTATGTCAATACTCAGAAGTATGAGTTTATGTTAACAAAAATGAATTCAAAATCACTTTTACCATAGCAAAATGAAATGTGTTTTGTAAATACACCTCGGCTTCTCCTCCTGAAGTACTACTGATGTCAGTATAGATTTCAGAATTACTTGGGTGTGGTAGTTAAGTTGTGTGTCAACTTGGCTGGGCCTGGTTTTGAGTGGCTGGGGAATGTAGCTATTCCCCATGATGACACTGGTAATGAACTCCATGGTGGAATCTACTGTGAGCAACTTCAGGGATGTGGTCTGCTTCCAGTATATAAGAAGTTTTGAGGAAGGTCTCCAGCTCCTGGTCTCAGGGTCATGAAGGCTGAGGTCCCCCTAGTCCACCATCTTCTTGGACTAACTGTTTCCATATGACTTTGATTTTCTTCACTCTTCTTTGCTCCAGATGAGGGGAGACCAGTAGTTGCATCTCAGATGGCCACTTGAAAGCTTTTAAGACCCAGTCACTACTCACCAAAGAAGGACGTAGAATGAGATTTTTATGTTAAGCTTGATGTCCTCTGAGACCATGGTCCCGAGCCCACAAGCCTGGTGACTTTCTCCCTCAATGTTCTTCGTTGTCACTGAGAAGCTACTCCAATTCTGTCCCCTATTGTTTCTATAATGTATATTGTTATTTATGCAGCACAAATACACATGTAAGAATATCTTCAGCCAAATATATCCATGGTCATGGGTATTCTTTTTCACCTACCCACACCTGATCTTCTCACCTGTCTATGCATTCACCCATAGACTAGTGCTTACTGACACTGCTAATGAAGTATTGTGCATGTGACAGTATTTGCCTGTTGTCTATATCTTATGTGCATGTTTCTGTGTCCTCCTTTTCCCTGTTGTCATTGTGCTGGCCACACACTTTTGTAATACTGACTTTCCTTCACCCAAATCAACACATGGCTGTTAACTAGTGAGGAATTTTCCCTCCCTTTCTCTCTTATCCTTGGTAACCAACATAGTAAGCCTTTCCTTGACTTTTTATAATAATGGACTCATACAGTATTTGTCCTTCTGTGACTGAATTATTTCACTCAGCACACTGTCCTCCAAATGTTATGAGGTGATTCATGGATTCTTCATTATTCTTTAATGTTACATAGTATTCCATTGTGTGACTGTATCATAATTTGGTTATCCATTTATCTGCTGATAGGCATTTAGGTTGTTTCCCTCTCTTTGCTATAATGAATTGTGCTGCAATGAACATGGGTGTGCATGTGTCTATTTGTGTCCTGGTTCTCACCTCTTTAGGATATATTCCTAGTAATGGAATTTCTGAATCAAACGGTATTTCTATTTCCAATTTTTTAAGGAAATGCCATACCATTTCTCATAGTGGCTATACCATTTTACAGTCCCCCTAGCAGTGAATGAACTGTTCATCTTCAGACTATATAAATTTTATTTATTTTTCCACTTATATACAGGTTTAACTTTTTCTTAATGATGTGTAGGAGTTGTTGATATATTCAGGACATGTTGTTGTTGTTGTTATGTGCCGTCGAGTTGGCCCCAACTCATAGCGACCCCTCCTTGGGTTTCCGAGGCAGTATCACTATGGAAGTAGACTGCCCCATCTTCCTTCTGATTCAGGACATACATGTTCATAATTTTGTTTTCATATGTTAGAAATATCTTCTCCCAATTTGTAGCCTGGGTTTTCATTTTCTTGTATCTTTTGACAACTAGAAGCTTTCAATTTTAATATAGCAAATTTATCAACAACTTCTTTTACAATCTGTGCTTCCTGAATCTTGTTTCAGAAACCTCTCTCTACCCCAAGAACACAAAGGCATTCTTCTAAATGTTCTTTTGAGAGTTTTCATTTTGCCTTTCATATTTAGATCTTTACTCTACCTGCACTGATTCTGAGGTATGCTGTAAGGCAGGGATGAAATTTACTTTCTTCCATATGAATAAACAATGCCAACACCATACACTGAAAAGTATATCATTTTCCCACTGATCTCAAATGCACTTTTGTTGTATGTCAGGTGTCCCAGTGTTCATGGGTCTGTCTCTATCTTTCTATTGTTGCTGTTGTTAGGTGCTGTAGGGTGGGTTTTGACTCACAGCGACTCCAAGTATAATAGAAGGAAACACTGTAATATCCTCACAATCACTGCTATGCTTGAGTCCACTGTTGTAGTCGTTGTAACACACTCTATCTTGTTCAGGGTTTTCCTCTTTTTCACTGACTTTCTACTTTTCCAAGCATGGTATTGTTCACCAGGGACTGGTCCTTCCTGATAACATGTTCAAAATATGTAAGACAAAGTTTCACTATTCTCCCTTCTAAAGAACATTCTGGCTGTACTTCTTTTTAAAAAAATTTTATTGTGATTCAGGTGACAGTTTACAGAGCAAATTCATTTCTGGCTGTACTTCTTACAAGCTCTAAACCAAACCAAATCCACTGCTATTGAGTTGATTCTGACTCAAAGCTATCCCCATTGGGTTTCCAAGGCTATAAATCTTTATAGAAGTAGACTGCTTTATCTTTCTCCCGTGGAGCAGCTAGCGGGTTTGAACCACCAACCTTCTGGTTAGCAGCCAAATGCCTTACCTACTACACCACCAGAGCTCCTTCTTACAAGATAGATTTGTTCCTTCTTCTGGCAGTCGACAGTACATTCAATATTCTGTTTCTTGTCTATCCCTGAATCAATAAGCCACTCTGAATTATACCTACTCCTCACATTTCCACATGGTTAGATCCCAAAGACTAGATTCTTATGTGAAACTGGTGTTATGTGAGAGTTGGAAGCCACCTTCGTCTTCAGCACCAGCGCCCTCCCCTACCCCCACTTGTTCACCTATCAGGAACCCTTGGCACATCCTGGATGCAAGTGGCATGGCAGGCCTCCTTTGCCACCACACCTTCCTCACCACCACAGAGCCAGTGAGGGTTGAGGATAGTAGTGGTGGTGTAGGTTAGGTGTTGCCTGCTAACCACTGCGTCCTGGTGCTTGCCCTGGGGAGGACCCTATTCCTTTTCCCTGGCTGGCAGCCTCATGACCCTGTGTGGCCACCTTTTCTCTCCCACTCCGATCTCCACTTACCAACCTTCGTGGCACCTTTAGGTCCTTGTCTGGCCTCCTTCTGCCTACCTGCGACTCTCCATCATCCGGCCATTGCCCTGCACCCTCCGTGGCCAGACCAACACATAGTGGACAATAGGAGAGGGCATCCTGTCCTGTGGCTAGTTGAGTGCAGTCCCTTATGTGGCCCTGACATCACTGGGGCCTCTGGTATATCATTTGGAGTGGCCCATGGGGGTTGTTCCAGGCCCAGCCGTGGACCTAGACCATCAGAGGAGCTGCCTGAGAATTTTTTCAGTTATCATAAATGAGAAATGTCAGATAACGAGGTAGTTGGTAAGTGAGGTGTAGGCTGTTAGAGGTTTATAACGTATCTTGGTATCTTGTACATTCTCCTCACCTTGGTTAGGTTAGAATTTTACACTTTCATATGAATTTTATGATTAGTTTGTTAGATACTACCAAAAAACCCCAAAAAAACCCCAAAACACCTTATCGGGGCTTGGTTTAGAATTTCACTGAGTCTATAATTCAATTTGGGAAGAAATGACGTCTTTTTAAATATTGAGTGTTCCAAACTATGACTTTTCGTTAGACTTTTTTTTTAATTAATTAATTGATTAATTATTATTATGATTTGGGTGACAG